TGCTGTGTCCTGCACGGTTTGTTGTTTCCTGATTGGGCAGCCACGCTCCGTGACCGACGTGTCACATCTGTGTGTTGGGGCATGGGGGGGGGGAGCGGCATGGGGGTGTCCGTGCACCAGTAACTGCTCATGTTTATGGATGGGAGCCCCTGTATGTTCCGCTTCCGTCTCGCCCAGCGACAAAGTGGCCCAGAAGAATATCTATTTTCTAGAACTTTCTCCAGCTTTCCTCCCACTGTTGGTGAAACCGACACTGTATGTAGGTGCACGTTTCCATGGGGACACTGGAAATGATTTCCTAGATGAGGGCCTCTGTGGACAAGAGGCCATCTGAAGTCGGGCTTCAGTTATAGAAAAACCAATAAAAAATCCCTTCGAATTGCCGAGGATGGTGGGTTTGGGCCGGCCGTTCATACAGCTGTACATTGTGGTCCTCGGGCAGGCCTCTGCTCTTTTTTTTTAGGGAGGGGGGTCGGGGGGAGAGAGGTCTCGGATTCAGGGGCGCCTAGCAACTTGGGCCATAGGTTATGGGGGTATGGGAATTTCCTGCAGTACTGGCTTCAGTAGGTCATTCAGCTTTTCTTTGTGATTGGTGGTTGGTCTGGGGCGGTGCCTCGGTGGTCCATGCCGGCAGTCTGCGAGCGTGTGATAGATGTCTATCACTTTTCCAGCACATCAGTCACCTGTGTAGGAGACGTCTGACCTCTGAACGTCTGACGTCTGAAACCTGTTCTGTGTGTGAAGAGGAGAAAACCCTTTTTTTCTGCAAGAAATCTCGCATGACACATGAATACAGCTATGAGTAAATAAAGCTTTGAAACGCAGGCTTGTTCTTATCTTCTCCGGTAAAGGTCAGAAGTTGCGTTGTGACACGCAGGTGGAAATTTTGACACCCACACGCACAGTGCAGGCAACTGCAAGCACTGCAACTGCACTGCAAGCAGAGGATTCGGCCCGAAATACTCCTCCCCGCAGCATGGTTCTGGTAACCGTTAGCATTGAAAAGCTATTTGTGTCACTGCAGAATGTCTCGTGGAGCATGTTTTCCAGGAAATGTGCTCTTCTGGTAATTCAGATGAACAGTGCTTGTGGGTTGGGTGAGTGTCACGGAGCAGAATCCTTATTGGTGGCCCTAGGGCCGTCATGTGGTGTTGGCAGCGGATCCATTACGACGACCTAAGTCAAGCTGCACTAACGCTTGTTTAATTGCGTAGAGACTCACTGCATGTCACCAAGGCGAGGCAGTGACCACCCAGGGTGTGTTTATAATCGATCCCTGTCAGTCAGTGGTAATATGATACTTTTTGTTTGCCAAAATGTTACTTAGGAGTAGATTTTCCAGTGGAAATTGAAATCTGATTTGCCAATATGGATGAAGTGAGTGATTTCTGTGATGATACTGGGCAGTAGAGATCAGATCACAGATTACAGATAGTCAGAATGTGCGGAAGGTGAGGCTCTGGCCCATGGCCTTGGAGACGGGCCCTAAAAAATGCTCAACGTGGATTACTGCGTAACACTGCATTGCATTAAACAGTCACTACATTTACATGCACAGAGGAACATGTGCAGAGTGCCTAGGCCAGTTTGAGTCCGATTGAACGTATACATGCAGGAGTAAATCGACTCACAATCACATTATCTGGGTGACTTAATTTGACTTTGAGAAATTCAGTTTAGTACGTGTTTACAAGTCTGACACTGAGTGTTGCCTCGAATGACCCTGATTAATTTGAAAGCGCATTCCCTCTAATGCTGGCTTTTCTGCCCCCCCCCCAGGCTGTGAGGACCTGGTGGTGGACAGCCTCTCTCTGGACTCTGTTGTGCCGATTCTCAAATGGAGCTCGCAGCCCTACGGCTCCAAGTGGGTCCACCGGCAGGCCGTGCACTTTCTGTGCGAGGAGTTCAGCCAAGTCATGACCTCGGACGTTCTGTACGAGCTGAGCAAGGAGCATCTGCTCACCGCCATCCAATCGGACTACCTGCAGGTGAGGAGCCCTACAGGAATGAGTTTCGGCTGTGGGCCGACGTCAGCGGAACAGCGAGGCAAACCCACGCGCGTTTATGTATCCGTGGTAACAGTCGCGTTAACAACAGAGTGTCAGAGTCAAGAAACCACAGATGGGGGGTGTAACCCAGAAGCTCCCTGCT